ACTACATTGACAACAAGCAAAGGTTGTTCTCAATGAAGAGAAAAATTATGAACAGAAAAAAGCGCTAAGAATAGGTAGAAGTACAAGAGGAAGAAGATCACCACACAAGTGCAACGAGATAAATTTAAAGGGGATAATTATCACATGAGAAGCTGCGAAACAAACCAGGGATTCTTTGCCACCATCTGCTTACAGAGGCTGGCAATAAAGTTTGTTTATGGCAAGCATGACACGACTGAAACTGTCTATCGGGACAGTTCTAGACAGCCTTCTGTTCTTCGTCCTCATCCTCCTTCAGAGTTTCGAGCTCGCCATAATTTTCCACCTAAAAGACTGGTAACAACATATCGGATATTCACAGTCATTACTATTTGTGGGTGTCAGCAAGCGAAGTGAGCTAGTCAGCTTCCTTATTCAGGGGAGGACAAAAAAGACGCTTCGCTCAAGGTTAGCCATCAAAGTTTTCGTAGCCCAGGATGGTAAGTTACGCTTATCTAAGCTAGGTATTCTTCAGTGTTTTTCTTCGAGCGGGTAGCCACCACTGCACATATTGTAACGAAAAGTGAAGGCCTAGAGTATTTACGTTCAGCCTGAAGCAACTGTGTGATTTCCAGAGCTGAATGACTTGCTCTAGCACGGAGAAACATCAACCGTAAATCTTATAGGATAACTTCGCTATAATACATTTGTTTTCACGACTCGATCGCCAGGGGCAATGATTACCAGAAAAGGTTGGTTCGGCGGATTCCAAGAATAAGAGGATTGAAAGTCTAGAGTGTCCATTACCTTGTCACTCGAGGTTTTGGTTATGTGGCAGGAGAATCGTAATTCGCCGCGCTGGTAAGCGTAGCGTATGAAGAAATGTAGGTATGAAGAAAAATAGACATGAGTGTCTACTACGTCCTTGTCTGAATGAAATGTGATCCTCCAGTCGAAAGGGTAGTGCAAATCAAGGAAATGTCACGCCCTGCTACCGCGCGCGACGACGGCACGTTACGATTCTCTTGCCCGTCTCCCAGAGGTTTTACACTGCGCTGCATGAGCAAAGCCCTTCCCCTGCATATTTGCCGTCTCTTGACATTATGTATAATACTTTATTTGAAAATGCCTCAAATTGGGAGGGGTCAAAATCCTACTTGGCAAAAAAAAAAACGAAAGAAACGGGGTTTGTGCGGCCTCAAACGGTTTTGTTTCTTATTCCTTTCAGCAAGCGACAAGACTGTATCATACTGTCGTTATCAGTCGTTTTCCACCAAATGTTGTCGCTCAGCCGCTTCAAGAACTGGTGGAGGAGAGGCTGACGGGGCGCCGAACCCAGGTTCACTGACACGCCCCATCATCCGCACCGAAAAGACTATATGTCACGACAGGTCGCCTACCCCATGGCACTTATCGAAGGATCATTTTCATTTTTTTTCTCGAAGAAAACAATGTTAGAATTTAACAAGACGTTTCAGAAAACCACCTTCATATCATTCAGACCCAACTCGTCATTTTGCTCGAATGTTCGCTGATAAAACTCCTTGTGTAAGCGCGGATCTTCCATTGGAGCAGTCAAACTCTATAAAAAAGAGCCTCACAACAATATTAAAGCCTCCGAATAAACAAGAAAGTCATACGGAACTGACCTGAATATAACTATTGCCCGCTGGATCGTCAAGCACCACAGTGATACCCTTTTTCAAACTGAGAATCTGAAAAAAGGCTAACTCTTTGATGTCGAGCGAAAAGCTAGACCAACAACTCACGTCGTCAAACTGGTCAAGGAACTGCTCAATCTGACTTCTTTCGCCACTGGAA